CAGCTGACCCCGTGGGCAGCAGCTCAATGCGTAGCTCGCGGTGCCACCATGGCCGCTAAAGACAGGAAAGCAGAGACTAACAGCTCAGAAAACCGAGGGGCAAAGGTCGGCTCCACCCGTGTAGCAGCACGGGGCAAGTCCCTGGAAGGGCCTGGGCGCTGGTGTCTGTTTGTAAAACAGGGGCAGCAGTGTGGCCACGTGAGGGGGCCGTGAAGGTTGCTGCTTGCTGCCAGTGCCCAGTCACTGCCAGCTCCCGGGGACCCCACGTGTTCAGAGTGCAACTGCTCCCCAAGGCTGTCCAGGAGGTGGGTCAGCGGGTCACATTCCCGAGTGTCTCTGGCTGCCTTTTGGCTGTCAGCCCAGCACGTGACCGTCTGCACCACCAGGGGCCTCGTGTGGTGAAGCCTGAAAGTTAACAAGTACACCACACACACTCACTGCCACCAGGCTGAGGCCGACTCCCAGGACCCCACAGGGCAGGACACGACTGCCCCTGTGAGACCAACTCTTCCCAGGAGCAGAAAGTCCCACTCTCCTGCTGTGGAGCGGCTGGTGGTCTTGCACGGCTGACTCTGGGTCAGACGAGAACGAGACGGGACCAGGCACTGGCTGGTCAGCCTCCTGGTCTAAGCAGTCCCAAGAGAGTCGATCACATGTCGGCTCACTGACGCACGCCCGGGAGCCAGTGGCAGCCGTCTGCCTGGAGGAGACAAGGGTGGCAGCCCTTACCGGATTGGCGATGATGCAGATCATGGCTTCGGGGCAATGTTGGGCACAGGCGGCCGCCAGGGTGGCCACGATCGTGGCGTTGGTGTTGAACAGGTCGTCCCGCGTCATGCCTGCAAAGGGTCCCAATCGAGGCAGTCACAACTTGCCCGGCGGGCTTCCGAGGGGGTGCTACGGGACTCAAGACCCTCAGGAAGAGTTCCCAGGGAAGGGAGTGGGGCATCCTGGCAGGAGGAGGGCGAGGGGCACCACGGGGAATGCACAGCGGCCCGTGGGGCCTGGAAGTGCCAGGCCAGTCAAGAGGGCTGCCTTCTCACACGCTCTGCGGCTGGGGCATGGTCTGTGGCAGAGGTCAGACCTGACAGGCTGTGACAGACATTGGGCAAGATTTCGACAAACACACACCTGGTTTTCTTGGGACTCCTGCTGGGATGACCACCACGTCGCAGCCTTTCAAGCAGTCGGGCAGCTGCTCGGGTCCGAGGTACCCTAAGAAGAAGCAGGCCATTCGAGCAACCGCCCCTTCCGGAAGCTTGAGGCCCACGTCTGTGGAGGACTGGCCCCACCCAGGCTCAAGGCCAACCGCGGCCCTGGGGACGCCTTGAGGTGCGTCTGCGGACGGTGGCGCCCGGGGGGCCTGACACACTTGGAACGTCCCTGCCCCTGCCCTCCCCTCACGCAGACTCTGGGTTCCCCGAAGCTGAAGCGAGCCAGTGCTTGGCTTTATCCCGAGAGCCCTTCTCAGCCTCTGGTTTACTGCACTGCCCTCTCAGTCTAACAAGAGCACTACCTACGACAGCAGCTCGGGGGCCCATGTAGGAAGGAGCCCTGGGCTGAGAAACAGCCTCTAAATAAGCGTCTCTCGCATCTACTTCTATCACCTCAGGAGGAAGCCGCTATTCCCAAAGGATCCTGGGACATTTGCTCCACTGTCTACAATCTACATTGACCCTGACCGCCGTCTCCACTCAGGAGGCTTTCAGAAATGCAGCTGTCCAGCCTGACGGGCACCAGGCGTCTCTCACCCATCAAACGGCCTTCTCACACGCTGCTGGGGGAGGAGGACACCAGCAGCTGCCTCTGGACAGCAATGGGGGCTTTCTTTAAGACCTTTAAAGTACTCATCGTCTCGGGCTCCAGCCGAAGAGAGCTGACCAAGGTGTTTTCCGCCATTCCGATTTTGGGCTCTTGGCATTTGGTGACGTGGGGAGAAGTGCCTTGCGGATGGTCTCTGGCACACCCACCAGTGCTGTCACGGCTGTGCTGTGGGTGGGACCATTTCCCTAAGAAGGCCGTGCCTGGAGAGGCAGGCAGAAGGGACCTGGGGCCGAGGGCTGTACCGTGCCAGGGAACAGCGTTTCTGAACAGTCCCAAACCCTTACAGCAGGCTCTGACCAGCTCCCCTCCCGAGGCGCGTGCTGTCGGTGCTGACCCACGGCCACCCTGCCCGGGCCGCGCCGTCCCCACGGTTGTTCTGCTTGAGCCCACGGTGGCTGCCAGTGCCAGTCCAACTTGTCCAGGGCCTTCCACTCTACTTGACCAGGCAGATGTCCTTCTCCAGGGACCGCTCTCTCCGGACATGGCCAAAGTACGCGAGTCCATGTCTCACCACCCTTGTCTCTAAGGAGCATCCTGGTTGGACTTCATCCAAGACAGAGCGGTTCGTTCCTTTGGCAGTCCATGCACTTTCAACATTCTTGGCCGGCACCATCATTCGATGATCATCCTTATTCAGTATCCTCACTTTCCTATGTTTATGAGGCAGTTAAAAGTACCATGGCTTGGGTCATGCACACCTTTGTGGGAAACAGAAAGGTCTCCCCCAAATATATGTTAGACTTCAGACACTGCTGGCAGCTAATGGTAAATGATTGTCACGTTACCTCCCTGACGGCAGTCAGTTGCCAGACTACTGTCTGGTCCCACCACAAGTAGGGCCCACTCCCTGCTGTTAAGGACAACGGGCTACTTCTCCCTAAAGGCTTGCAACCATTAGCTTGGTCCCTGTAGGTGGGGTTTACACCCTACTGATAATGGTTTCTATAGTGATCCAGAGAACAGGTCAAACCTGCTCAGTGACATCCAAAGTTAGGCTGCCATCCTGACTGAATCTAGGCTCCTCCTATCTTGTCACATGTATACCCCCATTACCTCCCCTTTCTATTACGTGGATACCCCTAGATCACCCCCCTCTCATTACTGTATTATCTATAGCACAACCCTTTCCTGTGATGTATGTCTTCACCTGTAATTAGGGGGCTTGCACATCCCAGAGAATATAAAAGCCTTGGTTAGCAATAAATATCTCTCCCCACATGGACCACCAAGTGAGGCTGAGGTGAGCTTGCTACTATGAAATGTGTCTGGCTGCATTATTTCTATCTCTCTTCTATCTCTCATGCTCTCTATGACCTTACTATAATCTTTACTTATCGCTGTACAATTGCGCCTACCGGACCGTGATGATGTGTTAGGGGCTGGTCACCTGGCACACCTCAGTGCTCAGAGTAACCTCTTTATTTCTCAACCCTGTAAAGAGGTCTTGTGCAACAGATTTACCCAATTCGGTACCGCGTCAGATCTCCTGATCGCTGCTGCCCTGAGTATTGATTGTGCATTCCCGCCAAGACGAAATCCCGGACAACTCCAACCTTTTCTCCACTGGGCCAGTCGTGAGGACTTTTATTTTCACAATGAGCTGTAACCCACACTGATGGCTGCAATCCTTGATTTTCATCAGCACGTGCTTGAAGTCCCCCTCACTGTCAGCAAAGGAGGCTGTCATCTGTATACTGTGGGCTGTTAATAAGGCCTTCCTCCATCCCAATGCCACATTCTCCTTCCGGTCATCACCCAGCTTCTCTGTTCTGCATATAGACTACGCATGGTGAGAGGGGACTGCCGCGGAACACGGCGCCCCCGATTTTAAACCACGCAGCGCTCCTGAGTTGCTTGCATCACCGCCTTTTGAGCCGAGCAGGGGTTCTGCATGAGCAAAATGAAGCACCGCGGAATGCCGTCTTCTCCAGCTTATCCAGTTTGTGAGGGTCCACACAGCCTGCTGCCTTTGCATAGTCCATTAAACACAAGTAAACATCTTTCTTTTTCAATCATTTTATTAGGGGCTCATACAACTCTTATCACAATCCATCCATACATCAATTGTGTAAAGCGCATCTGTACATTCATTGCCCTCATCCTTCTCAAAACATGTGCTCTCCACTTAAGCCTCTGGCATCAGCTCCTCATTTCTTCCCCTCCCTCCCCGCTCCCCCACGAACCCTTAATAATTTATATATTATTATTTTGTCATATCTTGCACAAACATCTTTCATCCACCCAATACTTTTCGATTTAGAATAAAAGATGGAGTAATTTGTAAAATATCATTCTAACACAAACAGGAAGTCCCATCTCTATACATCTAATTACACTTTAGATCACAGGTTCTCAACCTGTTCGTGAGGAACTGCATGGAAGGAGGAAGGTGGAGAACCACTGCTTTAGATGCTTCCTCTAAAGCACCAATTCCCAAAGTGGGGGGATACTGCCTCGCCCCGGGGGGCAGGGGCAATGACATTGAAAAAATCGAGTGGGGCTCCAGAAGCAGAAACCTATACTTTTATCCTGGATTATGGGCTGCTGTACAAGTGTTTAAATTACTGGGGGGGAGGGGTCTGTGCTAATTCTGCCCCACACCCCCCACCTCCCTGGCCAAAAAAAAAAGAGGCAGGTCAGGGCAGTAGGCCCCTAAGTTTGGACCCTGTGTTCCTGGAGCCTGGCACCCCACGTACCTTTCACATGGGCTCTGGTCTCGATGTGGCTCAGGTCGGCGGCTACTCCAGGGGTATGAGCAATATCATAGAGGGTCAGGCGGCTCACCAGGGGGCTGTTCTTCAGGAGAAGTGAGAGGGGCTGCCCGATTCCTCCAGAAGCGCCCAGCACGGCTACTTTAGCGTGGTTCTACAAAGAGGCGAGGAGCAGACAGTGTCAGCATTGAAGCAGTCACATGGTTTCATGCAAGCAGGAGGGGGCTCCAAGAAGCTCGTGGGGAAACTCCACTAACAAAACGATTGGAACACTATTGTGGAGGAAGGTTTATAGAGTGGATCACTGGTTTCACGCGCATCAACTTTTTGATCAACTCATTCACTGCAATCCCATGTACCTTCACTTATCCCCCACTGTTTCTCGTTTTTCATTCCTCCTCCTTTCTGCAGCCTCTGAGCTGTCCTGGGGGAAATGGTGCCCCTTTGAAAGCAAATGGCTAATTATTCTAACAAGGGGGTGAGTGCTGTTTCAGACCTGAAGGGTCTGAAGACTAAGGGACATAGTCTTGGGGGTCCCATCAGACCAGAAAGCCTGGGGTCTCTTATGATTTGGGGTTCTGTTTGATCCATACTTTTCTCCACTCTATCCAGGATGTTCTAAGGCAGTCCCCTCCCTTTCAGAGCAGTTGGCACTAGCAGCCGGGCACTATCTAGTTCTTCTGGTCTCAGAGTGGTGACGATGAATGTGTGCAGGCTCCCCTAGTCCACAGGCTAGTGATCTCCCCTTTCCTCAGGGCAGGCAGGGAGGGAGACCAATCACATGTATTTACTGAGGGAGCCTCAATGGCACGGAAGGTTAAGCAGTGGGCGCCAACTGCAGACTGGGTGATTCAAGCTCACTAGCTTCTCTAAGAGGGAAAGATGGGACTGTCTGCTTTCATATAGATTTTAGTCTCAGGCACAACTCTCTTTAATATATTCAAACAACTGAATTTTATGGCAGCAAATAAATAAGCTCAGTTCTGCCCTGTAGGGTCGCTCAGAGGTTTTAAGAACCTAGTCGCAACACACCCAAATAAGCTGTAGAAAGAACACTGCCTTTGTGGCACTGCTGATGCTGTGCCACCTGACCCTGGTGCCCCCTGGAAAAAATGCCACTTCGAAGTCCTTTGACTACAGCGGGGCCACAGGAAGCTACAATCACTTTCTTTCTTCACCATGCCAAAGGTCCAGTCATTCCCAAAGTTTAGATGTTTCCCTCAGGAAAACAGGGAAGTTATATCTAGAGATCTCCTAATAGCTGGGGGTCGAAAAAGATAAAGAAGTCTTAGCCAGACAGCTGGAATCTTACCTTCAACCTGCAGCTGGGAAACTGTCAGCAAACATTTATGAGGCCAGCTCTTTGTGACTGGGGCTTCAGTCACAAATGGGGGTCCCTATTGGTTGTGAGGGGGCCAAAGAACCCCACACACAGACACACACACACAGCCACATGAGCTAGAAGTACTGTGTGCAAAAGAGCAGAGGGGGACAAGAGGCCACTGTGTGGGTCTGATGAGGCAGCTCCATCTTGGCGGGAGCCTTAGGCAGGATTAGGAACACATGGGGTGGAAGAGGGACTGTGCTCTGAAAAGGCTCCTTGGACTGAACCAGACCCCATGTCCCATAGGAACTCCAAGTCCTACCAGGTGAGGCAGACGGGATCCTAATCCTGCACCACTTAGTTCAAACAGCGGTCTGAATCAGAACCAGAGGCCCCGGGGGCCCAGGCCTCCCAGACCACTGTACTGTCCCCCATGTGATTCAAGAGGAACAAGTCACACTTGGGGACGGCTAGGTAGTCGACTGGAGTATGTGCCCACTGAATCTAGAGACTGCACACCACCGTTGGTCAGAAAGACGTGATTTGCAGAAACCTCTTCACAGAACTAAGTTCATCTAACAACTAGTCACAAATGGGGGTCCTTTTTCACTTATACCCTTCACAACCATAGCTTTCCCATGCAGCGTGCAACTGAACAGCCTTCAGTATACTCAGAGTAGTACAACCACCAGCACCCAAATTTTAGAACATGTCCACCACCCCAAAAGAAACCCGGGCTTGTGAGCAGGCGTTCCCCATAACCTCTGGCAAGCACCCATCTTTGTCTATAGAATTTCCCATCCAGGACATTTCAAAGCAAGAGACTCACACAACACACACAACGTGTGCACTTTGTGCCTGGCTTCTTTCAATGGGCACAAGGTCCTCGGGTGTATCCAAGGGGCAGCATGCACCACTACTACACCTTTTTCCCTGTGGAAGCCTATTCCATTGGATCGATTTTTTTGTTTATCCATCTATCCATCAGCTGTGGGATACCAAAAGGCTTTCCCCCAGTTTGTCTCCCCCAAAATATGTCAGACCTAGGGCACTGCTTGCAACACATCCTGAAGGCATCATCAGCCACCCAGAGCAACCAGGCTGCCTGTCCACCTAGGTGGGGCTCACACCCTACTGATAAGCATACTAATTATTTCCATGGAGAGCCCAGATAAGTGGTCAAACCAGCTCAATGACAACATAGGTTAGGCTGCCATTATGAATCTAGGATCCGCCCATCTTGTCACAAGTGTACCCCTAATCCCTCATCTTCCTAGTTCATGTACACCCCCTAGGTCGTTCTCCTTCCCGTTGCTGTGTTGCCTATGGTACAACCCCAACCTGTAACGTATGTGGCTACCCGTAACCTGGGGGGCTGCCTCCCCTCAGGCCCCACCTCCAGACCAGCTCTCCTAAAAAATTAATAAGCCACCCAGAGTTTCAATCATTCCATTCCCTTGGCTCAAAATCCCGAAGCTCCTTATGCTCAGGTGCTTTAACTGGCCTGCATGGCAACCCTACAAGACAGGGTAAAACCATCCAAGGGCGAGCTTCCGTTTCGGACAAATAAGAAAGCAAACACTAGCCACACAGTCCTGCCTGGTCCTCGAGGAGGCGTTGGGAGGGGCAGAAATGCAACAGCACCGTTTGTAAATACACAGCGCCAGTGTGTCTTGATGAGGAGGTTTGCAGTGCTCTGCGACTCGGGAGCTCTCTGGTCTTCGCGGAGTTGAGTCAAGCTTCCAGAGGCCCACTCCTTTGCAACTGTTTAAAAAAAACTGGTCAGATAGTCACACCTGCGCTCTCAGATCAGTGGGCCACAGAGAGATTTCTCCCAAGCTGTCTCCCCCAAATATATGCCAAACCCAAGACGCATGTAAATGACTGTACACTAGGAGGTCCAAGAAAGTAGGTCAGAGGTTATTCTTCTTAAGGTATCAGCCATCTAGAGTAACCAGACTGTAGTCTGACTCTCCCTAAGTGGGGTCCACTCCCTCCTGAGGACAGTGTGACTGTTCCCTTGAAGGAGAGTCCGAAGGCAAGGTTGGGACCACTCAAGGATGACTCAGGTTAGGCTACTATATTGAGTCTAGGGCCCGCCCATCTTGCCACATATGTACCTACTCCCTCCCTTTCCTATTGCTTGTATTGCCTATGCTACAACCTCTTCTTATGATGTAGATGGGGCTTGCATGCCTGGCTCTGACTCAATTGGTGGACAGCATATAAAGTTTGGACCCGCATGCTTGGGTTTAAAGTATTTCACATAGCTTAAGTTCTAGTCTGACTGTGCTGTTTATCATAATTTTGGTGCTTGCAGTCTTGTGCTGCTTCTATAGGAAGCTAAGAGAAATGAAGAGACCATGTTGCTTCTATGATGCTTTAAATTTTAAACATAACACAGAAAGGGGAAATGTGCGATACTAACACTGAGGGAAATATTACTGAGACTCATTCCCTGACTAGTACAGAGGGAATCTGGAAAGCTGGTATTCCACAGTAGGAAAGCCACAACTTTGGAAAGTTAGAGATAAAGTCCAAGTATATTTTCCTGCATTAACTATCTTTCCCACAGATTCTCCCCTTAAAGCTGTGCTGCCTTAAAGTGAGCGCATGATTGATTCTGTCTTTCTATAGAAGCAGACATTCCTATTTGCTCCATCTCTTCCTGCAGCGGCATCCAACCCCTCATGCCTTCCTCCAACAGTGGATGGACATAGGGGGGCTTTATCCCCCGAGCCTGGATTCAAAATGCTTACCATAGCCTGAGTTTTTAGTTTGGCTACATTAATTTTGTCATTAAATATGACTTGGCAGCTTTCAATGTATAGCAAATAACCATGTAGCCCCTGTAGCTCTTTTGAATTTTGTGGGATACAGAAAGATCTCTCAAGTTGTCTCCCCCAAATATACGTCAAACCTAGCTGCTTGCTACACATGGTAAATGACTATACACTTGGAGGTCAACAGTGATTCTCCCTAAGGGTTTTCAGTCAACTAGTAGAGCAATCAGACTACATAGTCTGTCTGTCCCCCTCTAAGTAGGGCCCACTCCCTTCAGATAAAGATAGTAGACTGTTTCTCCTGAAGGAGAGCTCAGGAGGTCAAACCCACTCAAGAGTGACCAAGGTTAGGCTGCCATATTGAATTTGGGGTCCAGCCATCTTGTCACACGTGTACCCCCTCATCCCCCCCTTCCTATAGCATGTACACCCCTAGATTGTCCCCCTCCCATAACTGTATTACCTATAGTACAACCCCTTCCTGCGACTAATGTCTTTACCTGCAATCAGGGGGCTTGCACACCCCCAAAGATATATAAGGTTAGAAATAAATCACTCTCTCCTGCCCTCCTCTCCTCCCACATCCCCAAGTGGACCACCAAGAAGGGCTGAGGTGAGCATGCATGCTACCATGTGTCTGACTCCTTTATTTTACCCTATCCCATCTCTATGATTCTCTATGACTTTACTATAATCTTTATATATATTTTAACGTACAATTGCACTTACTGAGCCCGTGATAGTGTGAGGGGCTGGCTTCCCCCATAAAATATAATATATAAAACAAAAGGGGGAAATTCTGGGATACAGAAAGATGTCTTCTCAAGTTGTCTTCCTCAAATATATGCCAAATTCAAGATGGTAGTTTGGTTAGAAATAAAACCTCATGCTCTCTCCTGCCCTCTGGTCTCCCACCTCTCCATGTGGACCACCAAGAGGAGCTGAGGTGAGCACGCTACCTGAAATGTGTCTGACTTCTTCATTTACTCTCCTAACCTCTATGACTTTACTATAATCTTTATATATCCTAACCGTTTGATTGAGCCCACCGAACCGTGGCTAGTTGTGGGGGGCTGGTTTACCCCCCACATTTGGTTCTGACATCTCAACTATGTAGGGAAGCCCAAGTTGGGTGTGTGTGCTTAAAACATGTGTGCTGCTCTGAGACCAATGAACCCTTGGGCTCAAGTTTGCCTTTCTTCTCAACATCCCCACCTGTCCCCCAACATTAGAAACTCATCTTCTCCCGAACCAGGCTCTTGGCACCCTTTCCCAGTGTGTGCTTGCCCACCAATCTCACCCGGCTCAGCAAAGGGCCCCTCCCAGGCCTAAATCCATAATGTCAGCTACAACTGTTGCTGTCTCTCACCCAATGACCCGCTGGAGAATCTTCTTGGCCCCACCCTTCAAACAATCTAACTTCACACTTCTGACTACTTCTACAGGGATCACCTGGATTATTACAATCAACTCCAAACCCATCTTTCTCCCCAACTTTGATTTTGTTAAAACAGATAAAAGATCAAGCTGTTTCTCTGCACAAACTAGCTTCCAACCTCCCAGAAAAAGCTAAGGTCCTTACAGGGCCTGCCCTGCCTGTGGACCCTACTGCCCCCTCTCAAGCTACACTTGCCTCCTCCCTGCTCCCAACCTTCTGGCCTGGAATCCTCTTCCTATACGATCTGACCTTTGTTCCCTTTGGGGCTCACTCAAGGGTCATCTTCTGGGTGGTTTCAAAGTCAACTCCCAAGCAACTTAACCCTCTTCCTGGCCTTTTATCTCTGGTGCTTACAGCTTTCGTGAGTCCATCTCCCGAGCAGACAGACAATAATGAAATATACTGAAACACACAGTAAATGCCACGAGGGCTGGGGATTTTGTTCACTGATGAATTCCCAGTGCTCACTCACTGCCGTCAAGTGGATTCTGACTCCCGGCAACTCTACAGGGCAGGGTAGCACCCGCTCCTTTGGGTTTGCCAGACTGGAATTCTTCATGGGGGCAGAGGGCCTCAGCCTTCTCTCCTGTGCACCTCTGGCCTTGTGGTGAACACATACTCACCCCACTGTGCCACCACAATGAGCTCCTGGTCCCCGGCTCAATAACGAACTCAACGAATAGATCACGACTCAAACTCTATACAGAGTTTCTGAGGTGGCAAATCATTAATGTGAGCACAACAGCCTCAACCCTCTCCCACAAAGCAGATGGGGGGGGGGGGGGTTTGAACCACTGCAGTGCTACCAGGGATGCTTTCGCTCTCGAGTCAGTTTTCATTCACAGCAACACTGTGGAACAGAGAAGAACTGCCCCCGTGGGCTTCTGACACCGTCAATCTTCACAGGAGTAGAAAGCCTCAGCTTTCTCCCAAAGGAGACCCGAGAGAAACTCAACCAACTCTCCTCTTTGATCAGCATTCATCATTACCTCCACCAGTCCTTGTGCCTGTAGTGGTTACGAGTTGGACCTAAGAACCACAAGGTCAGCAGTTCAAAGCCACCAGCTGCCCTGGGGAGAAAAGATGGGGCTTTCTACTCCATTAAAGAGTCATAGGCTCAGAAACTCACAGTCAACCCTGTCCTATAGGATCACTGAGTTTGGTGGGGTTGTTTTTTTTGGGGGGGAGGGATATAGCTGCCATAAATTCCCTGACCCACCTTAAAGACCACTTTCCACTCATCTCATGATCTCCCGGAACACACTTGTTGGCAAGCAAGGACCTGGTGCGGTTCAAGGGCAGGGTGAGGCTACATAAGTGTAGAATCCCCTTCAGTTACCACCTCCCTCTGGGGCACAGGCATTATGGCTATTTCCCGAGGCCTGTGTTCAAATTCCTCTGCACATCTGGTAAACCTGGTAAAAAATCCTGTCCCACTACACTGAGCCTCCTTTTCCTTTGCTTCCAGGCGATGCTGACATCCACCAAGTTTGAGAACCGCTGTCCTACAAGATGGCTAAAAATAGCACAGGCTCAAACGGTCCTCCTAGGCCGAGTCATGCACTTTCACAGCACCTCGCGGTTGGGCCCAGGCCGACCACGGGAGGAAGGAGCCTGCAGAATGGATCTTGTGCCCTTTAAAGAGGAAGCCGAGTCGTCTTCCTACAGGGAAGTGCTCCTGATTCAAATGCCACTGACAAGGGGCGGGAGGGCTGAGTTGGAAGCCTGTAATTCCGGCCAAACGGCTGTGTAACCTTGGGGGGACGTCCCCAACCACGAACCTTTCGATTCGATCGTATTACGGAGTTCCTGATACGCTTTTCCTTGATTTGCACACAACTCATACGAATGCTGCAATTAGTGTTAGCGTGGTCCCATCGATGCACGGTGGGGGTCTACACTAATCTGCAAATTGCTTTCGGTCCTCAAGCTGGGCTTCTCAACCTTGAAGCCGTGCAAGAGCCTCGGGGAGCCCGGGAGGCTAACTGCCTCCCCGCCTCCTGGGCTTTTCACCCTGCACTTCCAGCCCGGTGCCAGGACCGACCCCCGGAGCCACAGGCAGCATCCGGCCAGTAGCGGGCACCCATGCGGTGTCGGCTGGCCCCGGGGGCCAGGCTGCTCGGAGCCCAAGCACGCCCGGGGCCCGGGGCCTCGGTGCACGGGCCGCCCCTGGTCGAGCCTACCTGGGCCGAGGTGCTGAAGCTGCGGCGGAGAGCAGCGGCCGCCGGCCGGGCGAGGACGGAGAGCATGGCTGGGCAGGAGGGGCACCGGCCGGGGAGCAAAGGAGCTGGCGGCGAGCAAGTGACTCGAACGACCTCCACAAGGGGTGAAGTCGCCGTGGCCTCGCGAGACTGGCCTGACTTCCGGTCCCGCCCACTTCCCGAATCTCGCGGGAGCGAGACCACGCCCTCGGCTCCGGGGCAACCCCAGCCGAGTGGCGACGCAGACCGGGCTAGGTCCTAGCGCGAGTTGGGTTCCGAGCGGCCGGTGGGCAGACTCGTAGGAGGAGGCGTCGCTTCCTGAGAGGAGCCAGAGGCGCCGTTTTCCAGGTGGGGCTCCACACCGAGGTCTTCGCGGGGAGACCGGGCCATGGTCACGCCGAAGGCCGCCGGGCGGAGGAGGACGCTGGGCTCTGGAATGTACAGTGGCGAGGTCTTGTGAGGCCTGGGGGTGGGAGGGGCGAAGGGGGCCCGTTTCATTAATCTTCCGGTTCGCACAGGTGCTTCCACCTGCGCACACGCACACGCACTGCCCACCCGCCCCTGCTTTGTCCCTCAAGTGCATCAAACTAACACGCACTGCCGTCAGGCGGCTTCCGGCTGATAGCGACCCCGTGGGACAGCGTCGAATGGCTGCCCTGGGTTTCCCAGACTGCAACGCCGCCGTTTGCACCACAGCCAACCACTGAGTCTCCAGGGCTCCTTTGTGGCTGGTTCCGTGGAGTCGGTTCTGACCCATAAGCGGCCTTAGGCCCAACCGAACCCAACACTGCCAGGCCCTGCGACGCCCTCACAACCATTCCGTTGTTGCAGCTACTGCTGTCAATCCGTCTCTAAGGTACCCCCACCCCCACCCCTCTCTAACCAAGTACCATACCCTTCTCTAGGGCCAGTGTCTCCTGAAACCGGCTCACGTTGGGTGACCCCTGCTGACATCTGAAATACCAGTGAGGTAGCTTCCAGGACCTCAGCAACACACAAGCCCACTGCAGTACACACTAGCTGACAAGTGGTGGACAAACGCTTTAGAGACCCCCAAATCTCACTCTGAGCACCGGCTTGACACTAGGGGCCCATGCCCTCGTGGGCTGAGATGAAGGGAATTTGTGAGAGCTCATCCACACGAAAGGAAAGAGTGTAGTATTAAATTAAAAAATTGATGCTGGGGGAGGTGGGGGGCCAGCCCCCACCCGCTGCTACCACTATTAGAACTACTCGGATTCAGTAATACTACTTCTGGGTTCAGTAATGCACAATTGTACGGTTGAGATATATAAGCATTATATTAAAGTCATCGAGAGCATGAGAGATAATACAATAATACAGTCAGACACATTACAGGATAGCATTGCTCACCTCAGCCCAGCTTGGTGGTCCACACGGAGAGAGGGGGAAGGGAAGGAGGGGAAGGGAACAAGGGAGAGGGGAGTGACCAGGGAGTGAGCAGCAAGGAGCTCAGAGTCAGGGAGAGATCTCTCTTGCTGACTCACACCTATATACCTTTTGGGGGCAAACCAGCCCACTAATTACAGGTAGAGACATACATCACAGGAAGGGGATGCACTATAGGTTACACAGCAATGAGAGGGTGGTCTAGGGGGTGGTCTCTATAGGAACATTATCAGTAGGGTGAAAACTCCGCCTACAGGAGCCTGTCCATTGTTCCCAGAGGCAGGGAGCAGGCCCACCCGTGGTTGGATGAGACAGCAGTCTGGCAACTGATTGCCCTCAGTGGGGGAATGCCTGTGCATCTGACCTCCCCCCACAAAAGAGACTTTCCTACTTACAAGGAGTTGGTCATTCGTTCATAAGTTCAACGATGAACTTCATATTTTCGTACTGTTTGGGGGCATGTGTGTGTCAGACACCATCCTTGCCCTAGAGGAGTTCAAAGTCAAGTGGGGAAAATGGACATAGCCAGACTTCATCTTTGAGGGAGGGGTGGATACATCCTGTGGGGAATCAAGTCAGGGACAGTTGGCCAGGGGGCAGCGCTCAGGGGAGCGAGGGTGAGAGTCACACTTTGTTCAATCACCGAAGACCATAGTGGGGTTCCTGATGACTGGCTCCCTCATCCCTCCCTCCCTTTCTCTTGTTTATGGAATCATTACCTCAAATCATCACAGGGACCCTATAGGACAGGATGGAACTGTCCTAGTGAGTCTCTAAGACTGGGGCTTTCTATGAAAGCAGAATGCCCCAAGGAGTGGCTGGTGGGTTTGAACTTATGGCCACAAGGTTAGCAGTCCACATGTAACCATATGTCAGCAGCATCGCTGTGCGTTGACAAGGACTCCATGGCCGTGAGTGACCATGGGCCAGCTCGGCCTTGGAGCTGGGTGTTCCACTGAGAACAAGCTTCACCGATTCCCTTCTCTCAGGAGCTCAGAGTCAAGAGGGGGAGGCACGTGTAAATGCAAGCAGCAAAATCAGGGTAACGATACAAGAATTAGGAGGTGTATCCAACCTCCAATTAAGGGGAGGGCTGTGGGTCTCGACCCACAGGTTGAGAACCGCTGATCTAAGGGCAGACTCAGGTGGGACAGGGATCCTTATCTGGGAATCAGGGAAGAGATCTCAAAGGAAAGGCACTACGACCTGGGTGTTGGGGTGGTGAAGAGAATGGGACAACAGCTTGAAGAAACAGCCAGCCATAAGAAAGCATAGGGTTGGCCTCAGGGGTGCATGCTCTCAAAGAGTGGGGGGACAGGGCGGGGCTTGAGGACTTGCCGTGCCTTTCATCTGGTCACCGAGTGGGTCCTCCGGGAATTGTTTGCCCTGCTCTCTTGCCACTGGAGCAAGCAGTTGGAGTCATCTCTGTGACTTCAGTGCCCAGGAGGGGCCCGGTGGAGAACTGACCGTGGTGAATTTGGGGGGAGCACTGAGTGTTCTTAAATGAGGCTGAGCCAAAAAAAAGTCAAGTTGGAAAACCAGATCGTATAGGACTTTTGAACATGAGCTAAGAAGTTTAGGCTTTATTTTTTGGCAAACAAGCGACGCCCCACGGTTGTTCCCGATGCATCAGAACTGTGTTTGGGGAAGATTAGATCG